TACAGTTGATGTCACTATGATCTTCAACCAAAAGTAAATCTTGGCTTGGGAGCTTTTGCAAATCACTCAACTTCATGCAGCTGGTAGACAGCAGAGTTGGGACTCAAGTCCAGCTGGCCTGAAGATAAAGCCCATCCATAGGTCCAAGGTCAGTCTCTTCAGGACTTGGAATGAAGTGGGGAGGAGGCAAGAGGAACAGTATGTTTCCAAGGGATCTGTAGCAGGTCGTGCCTTGCACAGACAGGATCACCCTGGACTGCATGCAAGGGGGTCCTTAAGGCTCCAGGGCTTTAAGATCTTGACATAGATCTTAGTCCCCATATTCCCCTCCCTGCAGCCTCTTGGGTGGCCTGGACTATGCTAGAAGATCTCCTGGATTAGACTTCTCTCTCCTGCTTACTCTGGCTTTGTCATCTGTACCTCGGGTAAAAGATTCGTTCCTTACAGGAACTGGCTTTAAACCTTCCTACCCAGAGTGCAGCCTGCACAATTTCTGGGCTCCAGTTCTCTGTGCAGGATTAGGGAACTGGCTAGGCAAAAGGAGGAAAAGGCAGGTACCCAGACCCAGTCTACCCAGGCATCTGAGCCAGAAGCTGGGTTTCTTCAAAATTAAACAGCAGCCAAAGGCCTGGTTCTAGAGTCATGCTCTTACCTCCTACAAGGAAATGTGGATAGGGAGATGTTCAAATGCTGAATCTTGGCTCCAGGCAGGCTCTTAGGAAAGCAAGTAGGGCAGAAGGAAGTAATGCTCTAACATCGCCCAGTAACTGTATGGCTTCATAAAGTGTTCCCGAGGGACTGTGTTGGACACTGATGAAATGAGAAACCAGTGAGAGGGGCCCCTGCCCTGAGTGCTCAACCCCTCTCCTGACAAGGTACCAGGTTTTAACAGCAGTTGTATCAACTGACAACCACTGAGTACAGTATCAAAGACATGTGGAGTGTCAGAGATACAATCTTATTTGATATTGTAAGGTGGGAGCTCTGATTCCATTTCATTGATTAGGAAGCTGAGGACAGAGGGGTAAGGTCCTGACCTGAGACTTCCCAGCCAGTATGGGGCACCCTGGGATGTCGCAGTCTGGCACTCAATGGAGTCTTCTATTTCATTTGTGGTTTCCAAACTTTTTAAATTTTTTATTTATTTAGTTTTAAATCACAGTCTCACTGTTACCTAGGTTGGCCTCAAACACATGGGGTCTAGCTATCCTCCTGCCTCAGCTCCCTGAGTAGCTGGATAACAGGTGCACACCTACCTCACCTGGCTTGCAAAGTTTTTGTAAGCAAAAGAAATTCTTAAAATTGGACAGAAACCCAATATAGAAAACAAGTCAAAATAGAGCTGCATGGATAGAAGTGGAGTTACCAGAAGCCTGCCCACCCAGCCTTCCTCTTGGGACTATTTAAACTCAGAAGAGTTCTAAATGTTGTGTGTGGCTGGAGGCTCACCTCTGGCCACAGATGCAGCTCCTGTAGCTGAAGAGAGTTCAGAAAGTGTTTACTGAACACACGTGGGACAGGAGTTTTGTGGTGCTTCCCAGAAAGCTCCCATGACAAGCACCCTATCAAGCATCATCTCAAGCCACTGGCTGGCATCTCTGCCATGCAGTGCATTTTGTTCACCTAATACCATTGGTAAGACACCTGCTCCAATCTGGGCTCCAAACTAGTAGCTCTGGCTACACTGTGAGTAAAATGTGTGGTCTCACCATCATAGAGCATAAGACTAGTAAGAGCCTTTAGCACAGAGGCTCCTAAAGCAAACATGGATCACAAATGGTAATCAGGGCCAGAAAAGAAAGCTCAAGATCAGCAGGGCATGTTCAGAGGGACCTGAACTGATCATCTCTGCAGCAGGGCATCAGTGAGAAATCTGGGCCACCAGGCACCTTAGACCAATACAAAGGGGTTACTGGCATCCAGGAGAGGTCACCAAGAGCTAGAAATGGGCAGGAGAGAAAGGGGTGAGGGGTGATCTTGAACCTTCCTTGTTCCCCAGGTATTCCCCAAACTAATATGAAATAATAACCTGCTCCCAAGACCCAAAGAGGTACCTCTGATAGAATCTGATTCTTCAATCCTGAAAAGGAGTAAGAAAAATCCTTCTTTGAAGAGCTGGATCACTGCAAATCTAGAACTCAGTGCAACGAATAATGGATAAGTGAAATGACAATTAAAGCCAGAAATCATTAAGCAATCATAATGTGTCTGTGTAGGATGGAATCTAAGTCCACCTCAGGGAGGCCTATACATTAGAAAGCTTTTTCTGGACTCTATAGAGACCTTTCTCAGCTACCCTGCTCCAGACCTGGCCCTGATCCCACAGTCATCATTTATTTCAGAAATATTTAGCAAAGACCTGGGTTGGGAAGAACACCAATGGCCCTGCACATGCCTGGCACAGAGCCAGGGCTATGTAAACACTGGGTCATCTTTGCCACAAAACTGACCCCAATGGTAGGGATACAGTTAATACATGATCTTTCCCTGGTGCCTATGTGTGCCACCTCCCGAGCCCTGGCTGTGGGAAACTTGGTACTGAAGCAGGTCTGGACACTGTCCCCAGTGCTGGTCCCCACAGAGCCTCTTCAGTGTCATGTGCATCTTAGTTTCTGGGATTCTGAGCTGGGGGAGGGGGTTAACCTGTCCCTCCAGCTGGTTTTTCTGCAGAGGGTGACATTCCAAAGCTGCAATATGTGCAAGCATTAACCTCTTTTCCCCTGCGCAGTCCTGCCTCTTCTCTCATCTCAGCTTAGAGGCTACATTTTGGAGAAGCCCTCAATCTGCCTGGGAATCTCTTTTCGTGTGCTTGCTACCCCCAAGTTTCTGCATCTTGGCATCTGGTGTGATGTCCAGGTAATATCTGTGTGAGAGAGCTGTGTCTCCACTATCCTATGTGCTTCTTGACAGCAGGCTTATGTCTTAATTCATTCATGTGTCCAGCATCTAGTGATGAGCACAGAACATAGGAGGTGCTTGAAAAATAAATGTTGAGGAAATGAACATAGGAAATATACAGAAGAAATATCTTCGTGCTCATCTAGTCAAATAGCTACATATCTGCTCTCTTTGCACACATACATGTACACAGTCCTCTTTGGATACACTATCTCCCTTGCTGACTCACTTTCTCACACTCATCTGTCTTGTTGCATAATATCCTTCTGTGATCTCAGGCTCCTTTTGATGCTGCCTGAGGCATACAGACCCACCTGCAGGTAGCTGAATTAAAGAACTTCTGACCCTGGCCCTGCATGGGGGTGGACCTGGGTCACACTCTGCAGACCCATGCCATCTCAGCCCCTGATCCCTCCCTGACATCTGGTCATCCCTGCATACAGTCTGAAAAGGGATTCTATGTCTACACTTCCCTGAACCCCACAACAGTGCTTGGAGGTAGACAGACAGGAAGTAATTGACTCATTTTACAGATGAAAAACCTGAGGCTCAGAAAGGCTGTTGCTTGCCCATGTAGCAAAGATAGAGCTGAGACCTACGTTTCTTCCATCCATGCCATTCATGCCACTTTGGTGGATTTCTGGGAAATGGAGTCTGGATTGGATACTACCCCTCACCCAACACCCCCCGAGGTCTTGATATCTGTGATACAGGAAGAAAACCCTCTGGAGATGAACAGAGGAACTTTGTGAAATCTCCCAGCCTCCTGCTCACTCCTCCTCCAGGAAGTAAAGCCACTGAGAACTGCTGCCACTAAGCCCCACTGTCAGCCATTCATCACACTCCAGGCCTCGAATCATTCTGCCAGACAGCCTGACCCCCAACACTAGATGCTCAGTCCACCTGGGTGTCCTGAAGGGGCAGCATCATATTTCAGAAAGATAGTAGGGAGAGAACAGGAGTGCCAAAAAGGCCTGAGAAAGGAGATAAGGGAAATCTTGCCACTAGCCCATTCATATCTACCACACAATGTACCCTAGGCTGGACCCACTCGGCAGCCAGATACCTGGGTGGTGCTGGGAGAGCTGGCCACCCACAGGCTTTACCTTTGCTCGTTATTATTTTTCAAAATCTCAATCAAAGGTTTGTTTGCCTCCTTCCCTGAATATTCTGTCACTTCCAATGCCTCTCCCCACAAAGAATGCATTCTTTCTGAGAGCATGAATATTTAAAGACATTTTTTTTTCAGCCACTGGAACCACATCATGCAGCTGCTTTCCCTTTAAATTTATCTCCAGAAAGTTTGTCCGAGTCTCTCTGAGTGCCCGTCCTTCCTGACACAGAATATACAATGGGGTCTCTGAGAAGTTAACCTCCCCTTTAGCAGGAGGACTAGGGCTATCAGAGCCTGCATAATATATATGCAGTCCTAATTCTGGTCCACAGCCACCCTTTCTTGGAGTCTAGACAGTTAATCTTGCAAACTGCCTGCTACCCCAGTTCTTGGAGAAGCTGGAAAATCAGGCATTGACATGGGTACGAGATCCAAGAAAGTAGGATGATGAACAAAGTCCCCAAAGCACAAGACCCTGCAGTCCCATGAGAAAAAGCTCTTGGCATGTGACTGCAGAGCTGATTCAGATTGTGGATTCACCAGTACACAGTAGATCCTCCCCTGCTGCCCCCTCCAGCGGGCCCCCTGCAGCATCTCTACTGTGCAGAATTACTCACAGGCCACTGCATCAAGTCTCTGTCTTATCAACAAGACACAATACTCCATCGATAACTTCTTGAAACTCCAGTCACGCTAAGACTCTTCCAGAGCTCTGGGAAGGGTTCTGCTCCTTTACCTGCCTATAACCAATCAGCTACACACCACCAACTCCATTTCCAAAGTTCCAGGCAATGAGCTCCCTGGCAGGGTGCCCGCCTTCTGAGAGCCAGGACCCAGGTTGTCAGCAACCTCAGATCCCGGCCACCAGTTTCCCTTGGGCTCCTCTGAGATTCAGGCACACCAAAATGACCACTTTCCCCAATCTAGGCAATGTGACCAGTCAGGCCATATCAAGACAGAAAACAAGAGTCAAGGCCAGTCTTCCTACCTTTGCTGAGGGTCCCAGTGATGAGCTTAAAAATGGTCTGAGCAAATTTCACAAATCCAAGCTTGCATCTCTTGGAGCAGCCGCTCATGGTGGCAGAAAGTGACAGGCTTTGCTGTCAGCACCCAAAAAGGACAGCACCCACCTTGAGTGCTCCTGGAACTTGGAGCTTGCTTAGGCGAACCCTGAGAGATGGGTGCACCCTAGAAGCCAAGCTCCGGGAACAGCACAGCTGCCTCTGCAGCAAGTCCAGCTTCTGCATCCGGAAAGCCTGCAGGGCAAATCTTCCCTCCCTCTCTCCACCTTCTGCTGCTGTCCACTCAAGTCCTCACCACAGGAGGACCTTGGACAGCCAGGGCTGGGACAGCACTGCCAGGGCACCAGGCGCTCCGAGAGAACAGATGATGAGAGTGAAATTGAGCAGAGCAGAAAGGGAGGAGCTGGAGCCCTCCCAGGCTTTGCTGACTGTCTTTCCTACATGGGAGCGGTAATGTAGCAATTAATACTCCAGTCAGAAGGGAGGGGCCTGCTACACAGAAAACACTCAGCCCTACAACCTCCTGAGCTCACTCTCCCGCTCCTTCCTTCCTGGTTAATCTAACAGATCAATTCTTTGTGCTTTGATTGGGATCTGGGAGAACTCTCGACAGAGCAGGAAGCTGCAGCTGGCTCAGCACTCAGTGGAAAGTTTGCAAGCAGCTTTGAGGTGGCCTGGTCTGCATAACAGAGAAGCCACGCTGAGTGGGGAGCCCTTGCGGAACTGGCCTGTGCACATCGGGCAGACAGATGGGTCAGCAACCTCCACAGGAGCAGCAGGTGCTATCTGCCTCACTGGTTCGGAATGGCCAATGGCTCTAACTGCCTCCACCTCCCAGCAGCTCAATCCCGGCCTTTACCCTGCAGAGCAGGTAGAAGTCTGTGCTGTCACATTAGAACAGGGGAGGTATGCAATTAGGCTTTTCTTTATGAAGATGGTATTCCTCAGAAATGACTGAGATTTAAACAATTTGACTACAACGCAATACTCTTCACAGTGAAAGCGCAGTGTGAAATTCTTATACAGGTGTGAAATCCAACTATTGCTTCATAAAAAAGTTTGATGCAATTCAGTGCCAAGACTGTGTGGGTTAAAAGGGACCTCAGGAGACAGCTCATTACTCCTCTCCCCCATAAAAGCTCCACTTAGCTTTCTTTGGTGATTCAGAAGGTCGTTGTGGGCCACGACCATGGGCACTTTAGCTACATGTGAGCAGCAGTTATGAAATCTGCCTTCATCTGAACCGGGTCATGCCTTGGGAAAGCCTTTCTCTTCAGCTTCTCTTCCTGTGATCTTCTCTAGGACAGTCAAGAGGAGTTGGTTGCTTAAGAGCTACAGAATGGAGGCCATGGGTTGACAAAATGCCAGATAATCCAGAATTCATGCATCATGCTGTCTGGTTTCTTTTCTGTCTCCTGGGAGTCATATGGAGGTGAACTGTGAAGCAACAAGCCTCAGCCCCCAGAGTGGTCACAAGAAATTTCAGCTCCAAGGAGGCCTGGAAGGCAGCTCGCAACCACAGAGCCTCTCTCCAAGCTCCAAGACCCTTAGGCTTTGTCAGCATGGTGTGAGACAATATTCACAGTAGCCCTGGCAGAAAATACCCCATTGTGTGTGGCCTCTTAGGCCCTGGAAGGGTCACACTAGTCACTCTTTGTTAAGGTACCGAAGGTCCTCGTTAGAATACACACGGTAATATAAACCGCGCTTACTCTTGTTTGCTCACTTGTCCAACGTTTACCAACCTTCTAGTATGTAGAAAAGAGCTGCTGCAAGTCTGTGTTCAAAGGCTACTGAAGCTGGAGTCTGATGTCCAAGGGAGGTGGTAGCAGCAGAAAACTTACTTCACTGAGGAGTGTACTGACGCGAGGCTTCAAAGCGGTTCCGCCCATTGCATCCGGGTCCCCAGCCTGTGGGACGGTACTTTCTACGTTCAGGGACGTTCCTCCACACTCCATTTGCTGACCCACATGCCAATCATCTCTGGACACACCCTCACAGACACGCTTAGAACGTGTTGTTCCGGCTATGCAGCTAAACATCCAGTTGACAACCAAGTTTAACCGTCACGCGTACTCCTTACTGCTTTGTTTTGAGGAAGGCTCAGTGAAATGAATGTGCTCATTATAATGTCGGCACAGTTTGTGTAGAGAGTATCATGAGGATGGCAAAGGTTATTGCTGCGACTTCTACTGGTCCAACTGCTGCCTCTGCTCCCGTCCGCCAAACAACACTGTGACATCTTACACTACTGAAAAAGAGACATCCCGCGTCAGCCTGCATGCTCGGGCCCCTACTGCTTGCTCAGCCCTGTGAGAATGCTGTGCAGAGTTCCGCGGTAAGTGTGTCACCACGGGAGAGCCCGTTATAAGACGACTGTTCCTATTAAGTGAACGCAGGAATTCCAGAAGAGAAGGTTAAGGACATTAAGGCTGTATTGAGCAGAAATGAATTCACAGAGGTAGAAACAAAACCAGTTTAGGGAAATGAGGGTGAAAATAGATAAAGTACAGACAAACACTCCATGATCATTGGAAATCAGAGATTCAATTTTCATCTCCTCTAGTGCCAACTCGAACTCAAAGCATTTTGTAGTCTCCTCTGACCATGTGCGGAAAACTTGTAGTCTTAGATGAATGAGTCAGGCCCAGAGAGGGTTAGCAATATTTAAAACACCACACAGCAAAATACCCCCAAATGTGAGCAAGGTTTTTACTGTGGTGAGAACATTCCTGGAGAAGGAAGGTAAGTTGTACCAGTGTGAGATTTATTATAATTATAAATAATACAAAGGAGAATTGTTCTCTCCCCTAGGGAACGTGCTATTCTGCAAATAAGGAACAAGAGTGTATTCAGGTAGCACCAGGAAAATTAGATTATCAGCAGTCTTATAATTAGCCAGCCTCTGTCACGGATGTGCTTTATCCAAGGGAACTTGGGGAGCCAAACTTATCTTTCCACCTGAAACCATTTATGAGGTCTTCACACAGTGCCAGGGGAAGTAGGGCAGGCAGATGTGGGCTCCAGATGCTGTCTGGCCCTGGGTGGCTCTGACTTCTCTGAGTTCAAGGCCAAGACAGGACAAGCATGCTCACCTTCCAGAGTGGAAAGGCTGAGTTCTACAAGGATAACAATGACACCACCATTCTGTGCAATCAGCTGTTCTGAGTACTTCCCTTCCCTATATCAAATACTTGTTAGAACCCTGGGAGGCAGGCATTATTAGACACCCCTTCTGTAGATAAAGAAACAGGACCAGAGAGGAAAAGTAGCTTCTTAACAGCTGCACAGCCGAAGCAGAATTTCAACGCAAGGCCATTTGATGCTAGACTAAAATTCACAGTTGTTTCTTTCACATATCACGAGGGTTAAAAATTAAAGCAACTGCCAGCCTTAGGGGGACATATTTTGCCTCACAGTTGCAAGAAACAGGCAGCTGTTTATTTTAATCATAAACTCATCATGGAGAGAGAATGGAGATGTTTGTCCTGGAAAGAATTCCCTCTGTGGTCACAGTTACGAGGGTGGAGAGGAGGCAGTGAGGAACATAGCTAGGTAAGAGGTAAGTCACTGCTCAGCCAGGAAATAGACCGCGTCAGCTGTTTTCACAGAGAATTTCATAGAAGGCTCGTGAAGCAGGCTCTGGGGGACCCCAGATGACTCACAGGGACACAGTGGAACCACAGGGGTAGTAATTGCAGCAAGCGGCCCCTACCTTTAGAGCTGGGGTGCACAGGAGGAGATGAAGGAAAGAGGCTGGGATCCCCCAGAACTAGAGCTGGAGAAGAGGGTTCCTGGGAGGCTGAGACCCAAACCTCCAGTGGGGGGCACCTGCGGGCTAGTGTTGGGGTCTCTGAGGTAGGACTATGAGGTTGATGCCAAGAGTTCAAAGTAATAATAAAAACAATAACATCAACAGCAGCAGCAGCAATAATAATAATAATAACAATATCCTCGAAACTAGAAGCCATGGCTGCTACTGTAAAGAACCATGGCTGAGGGGATGCGAGAGGAGTGGGAAGCAGACTGGAAGGAACCCGTCCCCCCTCCAGCCAGCACCTCCCTCTGCCCTGTTGGCAGAGGCTGCCATGGGGCTACTGGCAAAGCAGAAATGTGGTTTTTTACTTACAGCCTCTGCATTACCGAGCAGAACAGAGAAGGGAGCCCTTGACTTAGGGTCAATAGCGAATACCCAGCACAGTCTAGATGTCTCATATTCTCAAATCCTACACCCTTTTCTCCTCATTGGTTCACTCAGCGAATAGTTACTCAACACCTACTCTATGCCAGGTGTTAGGGATATGCTGGTGAGTAAGACAAAATCTCCGCCTATGTGGATATTTCATTTTAGAGGTTGAATAGTGAAGAATGTGCTCAGACCATAAACAAACAGAATCACAAAGTAAGGAATTTCAGAGAATGAGAATACTGTGATGCAAATAATAAAATAAGTGAGCTGTCTATACTTTCAAATCAGCAGGGCAGGGACCTCCCCGAGCTTGCTGGCCAGCTCTAAGAGAACAACGAAGAAGGAAAGGGCAGATTCTCTGGGAGACATGATAATTATGAAAAATATCACCATGATTCATTATTCTGTGGCCAGGTGCTATCCTGGGTACATTGTTTGGACTATCTCATCAACAGCTTGCAACAAACTCATTATTATTTATTATACCCATTTTACAGATGAGCAAATAGAGACCTAATCAAGGTTAAGTGATTTACCTCAGGGGAAGAGGTGGAGTCTGAGGGACTAGTGAGTGATGGAAGGAGAGTTTAGCAGAAGGGGAGAAGACCAAGGACATTAGTGGTTCTAGAAATATAATGAGGAAAAGTAGGAAGAGGATCAGGTCTAGGGAGGGAGATGATTATAGATTCCGTATGTGTTGAGGAAAGAAACGTCCATCTGACAGATGGAAATAGAGGTGAGAAACTCAGAAGAGCAGGGAGGAAATAGAATTCTCATAAATAAATGATTCTTGTTGCTGCTAAGGAAGAAAATAAATGTAGCATCCCAGCAGGCCTGAAATATTAGCATTTAAATACAGGCTTACACAGGTGGGTAAAAAAGGCAATTTCCTAAGAATTAAATCAGATTTTATTTTTCCTCTAAGTCTCAGGAAAATCAGTTCTGCCTGGGTATGGGCCCCAGAGAGGGATTCCACCTTGCTCTTGGGAAGCTCTGGCTCCTTGTTCTCAGCAGGGGTGTGTGTCTTCTCCCTGTTATAATTGTGAGAAAATGATGCGTAAGAAGCCAAGGGCAATTCATCAGCACTGTTTACTGAAGTTTCTAAGGCTCATTTGCTTTGAGAGCAGAGCGCTTCATGTTGAGATCTCCAAGCGCTCTGCACTCAACTGTCAGCAGTCTGTAGGGCCTGGTTCAGCAGGAAGGAGAGCCACAGTTTTCCACGCAACTGGCAAGAAGGCAAGGGCAACTGCAAGGACTACCAGTGCAGAGGTGGGAAGAGACCAAGGAATCCCGAAGCTGCCCCTTTTCTTCCGGGTGTCCCCAGGTGCCCAGGGTCATTATACCAGCCCATCGTTGACTGTGGACATGCCCTTCCCAATTCTCTCTTCTCCTGCCCCTGTATTCACTCTATGTGACAAGCCAGACACAGTCTGGGACTCACCATGGGACTCACCTATACTGTGTAATGATGGGTAGAGAACTAGTTGAAATTGGAGACCAAAAGCCACTGGTGTAGGTGCTGGCTGCTCCCAGGTGTGACTCACGGAAAGACTTGCATGCCAAACTAATTTACCCTTTGCCTTCTAGAGTCACCAAATGCAGAGTGCAATCCCACAAGGTACAGGATTAGGATTGGGGCCCCAATTCATAAATGCAGAATGACTCTGGATGCTACTTTTCTCTAACTTTCCCATCAAATAGTCTTATCTTTGTTCTAGTCACTCAAGGCCCTGCTCTATTCAAGTGCCCCAGCTAGCTATTCCCATATTCTCTATGTCAACAAACTGCATCAGCAGCCTGCCAGAACACCCATCATGGAAACTTGGGGGTCTTTCTGTGCTCCTCCCTTACCTTCTCCCACCCAGCCAATCCATCAGCCAATCCAGCACCAGCTACAGTTACATCTACTTCCTTAGAATCTCTCTGACCCACCTATTTCACACTAGTCTCTCTCTCTCACACACACACAC